GGCTTATTTGAGTTAGTAGACAACTAAGCTGCCCTTTCCAGAAGCTGGGGGGCTGTGGTTAGCAGATACGAAAGGAATGACTTTTCCTGGCTAACAGAAACTCACTTTATAATGTTTCTGAGGAATGCTGAGTTTTGGGTTTCAATTCTTCTGATTGCCAGTCAGAGTCCAGCCTGAGCTGAGCCCAGATTGCAACCTATGATATCGCCAGTGGTGCTGCCATTCTGGGGGCCCGGATGACGGGCATGCGCCACCATTCGGAAAACTGCATCTTCCTAATACATTTCTCAATCTTCTAAGCCTTGGGTTGCCCGGCTCCCAGCACCACCACCAGCAGAATGGCCAGGAAGAATCTCATGTCCTGCTAAGATTTTGAAAGGATGTGTTCCAACTACTAATTACTGTGTCCTCTGCATGGCCTCATCGGGAAATTGCTTTCTCAAACCCTTAAGTTTCTAACATGAAAATGTATGCATTTTTCATCCCTTCCCAAAATGATGCTGATTAGGTTTTTCCTTTCTAGCTGCCCTCAAGAGCCCGATAGGCCCACTATTTCAATCTCACCTGTAACCTAATTTGAAAATCACTTCCCAGATACACTTTATCAAAAGAAAAGTTTTTTAGACAAATGACAGCAGACAGACAATCTGCGACCTCAAGGCAACAAGGTAGAGGCAATAGCTGTGCGGAATCCATTCCTCTTGGGGACAGATTTCAAACCTCAGAATCCGTGATAAATCCTTCAGAGACGAGGCTGAGGAACCTGAGTTTGAAATCATCACCAGGCATGCCCAGCCTTTCGACACAGCGACATGACATCACCGTCTGCAGAGCCTGTGCTCATACAGAGCAGAGCACCAGAGATGCAAGAAGCGTCTCGGGTCTTAAGTTTGCCGTCTGTGTTGGGTGGTGTTTGAGACATGCTGAAGGACATTTAATTTCACCACTGTTTCATATTCAGCTTAGACTCGTTCCGTGTTTTCTTCTATTGGCTCGCCTATCTCAGGAGCTAATCAGCTCCTGTTCAGAGTCAGCAGGGAGCCTCTGACAGATCTATTCCCACCTTAACCATTAGCCCTGTGCTTGGCAAGCGCTGGTCCTGCTAGGCCAGAGCCCTGTTAAAGCCTCTTCCATCTATCCCCAAGGGTGAGGTGGTCTCTCCTTCATGCACGTGACTTCTTGACGTGACAGGTGATACGACATCAAGTCATCACGTCAGTCAAAATGTCATTGCCTGGTGGCACCTTCTCTTTTAGCTATTAAGAGCACTTGCTGCTCTGCACAAAACTGCAGCTTGGTGACAAACCCACGCTTCACTGATTTGGACACTGACCTTGCCAAGGCTCTGCAACTATGCCAAGTGCAACAGCCTTGCACCAGAAGACCTGGTCCTACTGTGATCTTTCCGACAACACCTGACACAGTGCTTCTGTGGGATTCCTGCAACACCAGCAGTACACGCGAGAGAAGTGATGACCACAGGGACAAACACGGCCGGTTTGCATGATGACAGCGGTGACGTCACAATGGCTGCATGCCTGACAGCGACAAGGGATCGCTCAGAAGACAACCCCCAGTTTTTAGGAATGCTCGGCAATATAAACTACAGAACTGATGGGGTGGATTCCGCCCCTTCCTACGCAAGGCTCTTGGTGTGGCTTCTGGCTCCGGACAATGGTAATCAACAGCACAGCAGAGACAAGTCCTCTGGAGACCAAACTCCCTTTAATCAACGAGCTTCACTACTGCGAAGAGCATAGGGAGGCTTGGGTCCTCTCGGCTACAGCTCTGCGGGGAGCAGAGGTTTGGGAGCAGAATGATACCACTCGAGACGCTACTAGTTCTCAACCAGGGGTTGAAATTGGAGAAGGGTCAAGCTCAACTCAGTCACCAGGGTTGGGAGCAGTCTCCGAGGTGCTGAAGAAACAAGAAACTCCCCTTCAGGCCAAAATGTCTAAAGGGAAGAAAGAAGGCAGCAGATGTTTATTGAGTCCTAGGTACAGTAAGAGCTTTCACTGACACCCACTGTGTGCTTCTGTCCGGCCTGTGAAGTAGGAAAATTACCCTCATTTCATAGAAAGGAAACGGACACTCGGTAAGGTTCTGCCGACCAAGCCCAGGGTTGCCCTGCTAGTGGGTGATGAAGCCAAGGCTGATACTGGGCATCCATGCCAGCCAGAGCTGATCCCACGATTGGATAAGAGCACCATGGATGTGGAATCTCGGCCCTACTATGCACCCCTCCAGTCCTAGAATGCATCTCTCCGTTCCCTACACGTATAATTGAATGTCGTCTGATATTGAAAACCTTTAAAATGTTTTCTCTGAAACAACAGAGGGTTCCAGCAATCAAGGACATGTAAACAGTGAACTCACGTTGTACACAAAATTGCCCCCTTGGAACATCCAAGGCAGTTAATGTGCTCGGTTGCTTCCAAAGCACGTGTTTCGGGGAACTGTTATGCTGATTAGCAATAATTATAATCTACTCATTAAGAAATGTCCCTAAGAGCTGCTACAACAGAACACTTCATTGCTGGGTTTAAGTTACTCTGTGTACTCGAAAATAATGAAGCTACGGCCCTTTTAAAAATTATCTAATTTAGGCTTTTCACTCACTTATGCTTCTCTGCATGGACTGCAAATGAAGCAGGCAGCGCTAAATTAAATGGTAGTACTCTCTAAGGTCCAGAGCAGCAGCCCTGGGGCCAACACGCCAGCTTTGGGGGGGGGGGGGGGGGTAGAAGAGGGAGGAGGCTGGGGAAGATTCAGATCTGAAAGACATTCCCTGAAGTCCACTCCCAATTTCGTAAACATTTGAGTTTCAAAGAACTTGGTTCTCCAAAGAGTCCCAAGATGCCTTGGACATTTAGTGAATGGAGTTGCTAGAATTTACTGAGAGCCACCTTAAATCCTTTAGGAGCAAAGCCAATATAAACAATACACCAAGACCGACAACTTAGTATCAGCAAGTAAGTACTCAACGGGTTGAGGGCTTTATCTCCAGTTTTAGTTATGAGAAGCACACAGAGAAAGCCAAGGATGGCTGCAGGAAAGCCACGGGAACACCAGAAACTGTCACAGGGCTGTGAGAACAGGAACCGTAACAGCTGGCTTCATGGAAACCGTAGCCAGATCCATTAAGCTCCAGCCTCCACAAATCCCATGAATCTAAGGCAGTACTCTCTAAGGTACACGTGGGGGGAGCAGTAAGCTACTCTGGAGGCCAAGGTGAGTCCAGGAGGTCAAGGTCAGCCTGAGTAACACAGCAAGACCCTGGCCTGCCTCAAAAGAAGAAAGGAAAAGAAAGAAAGAAAGAAAGAAAGAAAGAAAGAAAGAAAGAAAGAAAGAAAGAAAGAGGGACAGAGGGAGGGAGGGAGGGAAGGAGGGAGGGAGGGGAGGAAGAAAGAAAGAAGGGACTAAGGCTGAATTTTCCGGAGGACCTTTCTCTTTACATTATTATTTTGCTCTCACTTGCAGGAAACAGACCGCCTGCTGTGGGACAATGGTCTTTACCCTGTCAATTGTATTTTAATAAAATGCTGATGGGCCAGTAGCCAGGCAGGAAGTAGAGGCAGGGCAACCAGGACGGGAGAATTCACAGGCTTCTGTACTTGAATACTTAGTGATTGGTGATGCCAGCTTGGGAGATTGTGGAACCTTTTTATCTGACACTTACCTGGGAGATGGAGGGCCGTGGAGATGGATTATAGCTGGCCATTTCCTACCTAAGGTGTTTGCAGCCAAGATGAGAGTAAAGGAAGATTCTCTTCCAGTCCCTTCTTCATCAGGACACTGCACTAATAAAGCCCACCCTTCTTGCCCTAAGTTGCTTCAGTTGGGTTAATTGGTCATAGTGACAAAAAAAAGTAATATAGGGGTGTGGTGGTTAATCCTGTCACCTTGACAGGAGCTAGAATAATTTGGGGGGGACAAAGCTCTGGGTGTGTCCATGGCAGTTTCAAGATAGAGCTAGTGGAAGTGGAAAGACCCATCTTAAAGGTGGGTGGCACCATTCTGGGTCACGTGACAAGCTCAGCAATGCAACTACAGTGGCTCTTCCCCAGTCTTCCTTTCCTGGCTTCTCCTTCGCCTCCCTCCCCCGTCCTCAGGGAAACTCTGTAGAAGGTTTTCTCTGTTGAGTTAACAGCCACATCCTTCTCGCCCTCCTCATTCTTAGTACAGTATCAACCTGATTCACAGGAGGTACTCGGAACTTGAAGGCGGAGGATAAATTTAGCTATTCAATACCGGAGATGATGACATTAATAACACGGGCTTGGGTGCGGCTCAGGATCGCCGATCACATCTCCTATGCTTCCCAGAAGTCTGGCTAGTGGAAGGGATACGGGACGCAGCTGCTAGCATCCATGGCCCCTTCTACAGATTGCTTTGGTACAAAACATTTCAAAGGTGCCTTCTGAGACAGATGTTTCTAAACAAGCTGACGACATTATTCCGGGGGACACATTATGCAAATGAGATCCACACAGGCTGACAGGCCCTCTGGAGGAGACTGGTTGACAAAGTCACAGAGGGACGCACGCGGTCTAGGGCCAGCAGTGGTCTGCAGGAGAGCTACAAGAGCTCAGCCACCCAGGGCCAGCTGGTTTGATCTGTTTAGGGACACCTGGAGCTCTCCAGCGCCTGCTCCTCAAAGGACAGAACGTGCCGCACATTGTTTGTTTCTGCCAGGACTCACAGGGCTGCCTGCTCTCCCACCGGCTTGACACGGGCGGCAGATGTGAGCATGCTTCCACATGAGGACGCGCGATTACCCCCGCGTCTCCGGAGCGAACAATCACCAGCAGAAAGCCCTCGGGAGGGGAACAGTCCTGGCAAATGACCGCCTTTCATGCGGGCACTACTAGCCACTTAGCACACCCAGGAGCAGCTGCCGCATCAGGGCCTGGCGTTCCTCACAGGCCTTCTCTCTCTCAGCCCAAGTATCCACAGAGCACCAGGGAAACATCAAGCAGGAGAGAGTTTATAAGAAAATACTAAGACTTTATTTTCTCTTATAAAGAGCCCTGCTTGTCGGAGACGTGAAAGGAGTACATAATTCTCAGGAGTAAACATGACTCACCTGCTGCAGGTTTCAGACCGTAATGCCAAAGAGTGGCATGGGGGGGGGTGTAATGCTTCTATCTTCACAGCCATAAAATGCTAAGTAAACAAAACAGAACGGACGTAATGCTAGGTGTTCCCACAGGGAAAAGCGAGAAAACTTTAAAAACGACCAGCCGGGTAACGGGAAAACCAAGGCCCACTAGGTTGCACCCCGTCCTCCGTGTCTCTCGGGCTCTGTCTTAGGTGAGGGAGGGCTTCCAGTCTGGAATCCCCAAAGCCGGCAGCCAGCGGCTTTTGCTCTGGAGTCCAGGGCGTCAAGCAGGGGCGAAGTCCTGGGCAGTGCGGCTGTGGTGGGGCAGCGAGGTACAGCAGTGTCGCATGTGGAAGTTGACAACATACTCTGCGTTAGTCCTCTGCACAGAAATAGCGAACGGCTCAAAAGGGTGAAAGGTGAAGGCCACGAGGCGCCGCACTGTGTGGTTGATGGGGCGGCCCAGCAAGCCTGCCTGGATCTCAAACTTCAGCAAGCCAGAGTCTCGGGCATAGAACCTAAACAGAAAAGAGACACGGTGTTGCTATCGCTGCCATCTTGAAGTCTGGACAGCAGGGGATAGATACACTCAGTATCAGTAGAACCACAAGCCACCTTATCTGATCAGCTCACCTTAGAAGCAGAGTGAGTGTAAAGTTAACTCCTGTCCTTAATTGGTGACCACTCCTCAAGATGACCCTGAATTAGACTCTAAACTACAACCTTTTAGCTTCCAGAAGCTCCTGTCAAAAGACTAAGCTGGCGTTACAAATGAAATGCCAACAGCAAGGCTAAGCTTCATGTGTAACTTTAAATCTTTGAAGAGCCACATTAAAAAGATAAAAAGTAAAACAAAAAGTGAAATTTATTTTGTAATATATTTAATTTAATCCAATATATCCAGAATACTACTTAGTCATTATAACCCACAATCACTCAAAACAACAAAAAAAAAAATCATGAGCTACCACATACTCTCTGTCACTACGTCTTTAAAATCTGAAATGTACTCAACACCTGCGTACAACTCAACTTGGCCTCATCTCGCACTAAGTGCTCAACAGCTCAAGTGCTGGTGGCTAGAACAGTGCCACTCTGAGCTCATCTTTAAGATTTCCAGGTTTAGCTGGGCGGTGGTGGCGCACGCCTTTAATCCCAGCACTCGGGAGGCAGAGGCAGGTGGATCTCTGTGAGTTCGAGACCAGCCTGGTCTACAAGAACTAGTTCTAGGACAGGCTCCAAAACCTGTCTCGAAAAACCAAAAAAAAAAAAAAAAATTTCCAGGTTTAAGAACAAATTCTTACACATGCATGCCTGTAATCCCAGCACTCTGGAAGACAGAGCAGGAGGTATGGAATCCAAGGCCGGCCTTGGCTGTATAGCAAGTTTGAAGCTTACCTGGGCTAAATGAGAGTATCTCAGTAAAAATAATAAATTCTCTCTGAAGGCTGTCATTTTTCACATACAGAAATTAAATCATGTGCTAGGGACACAGCTCAGCAGCAGAGCACCTGCCTAAAAACAACATGGCTAGTGGTTTGGATTTGGATTTTCCACCTCACACAATTGACAAAAGATATTTCTGAATGGCTTGTGATTTGGGAAACTAGAGATGATAAACAGGCTGGAGGAGAGTTCTGAACCAAACGGAGAGTTCTGATTTCCTTTTCCAGAGGGCAGATAAAGAAACAAATCTAAAGGGACTCAGACTCTGCATTGTTACTAGTATTTTATTATTATTATTATTTTGCAGAGCTAAGGCTCAAGTCCAGAGCCCTGCACACACTAGGGAAATGTGCCTCCTCTGAGCCCAAGGATATTTAGACTTGTTGACACAATAATCCCATCCCCAAGAATTCATATCCTCAGAACTTAAATGATCAACAGTGGCATTATCAGAGTTGCTCTAACGTAAAAATGCACAGAAGAGATAGGCAGAAGGCTGGAGAGATGGCGGCACGTCTACCTGAGGGGACTGTGTATCACAACGGAAGGTCATCCCTGAAGCTAAAGCAATGGGCAAGCCACGGCGCCTGCGGTGATTAAAGCTACAAACGAAAACATGAACACACACACACATTGACAGAGACCAGAACGGAATTGACAGTGAAGGCATCTGACAACACGGCCTCTTCAGAAGCCGCCAGGATCCTTCCAGTTCTCGTTTTAAGTAAAAGCATGACGTGATTCCGAGGGAAGCCTCCCCAGTCACAGCAATGGCACTGCAGGTGTTACTTAGACTCATCTTATCAAATTGAAAAAGACGGGGAAAAGGCAAGGGCAGAAATGTATCTATTTGACTAGATCAAATGAGGCCCATTATGTGCTTTTATGCATAAAAAGCACATTAACCTACCCACATAGTTCCCAACACGTACAGGGTTCATAATTTAAAAGTGAGCTGTTTGTGCTTCTAAATCTAACTACCAATTTACAAATTGGAAAGCAGGAGGAATGAAAAAACGTAGTAGCCACTACTCCTAGCATGCAATGAACAGAGCCCAGATGTGAGGAAGACGACAGGATGAACGAGATGGTGATGAACAATGATGTCACTGCAAGAAAAATAAAGAGAAAAGTAAACCCGTAAGCCGGGCGGTGGTGGCGCATGCCTTTAATCCCAGCACTCTTTGGGAGGTAGAGGCAGGTGGATCTCTGTGAGTTCGAGGCCAGCCTAGTAGTCTACAAGAGCTAGTTCCAGGACAGGCTCCAAAGCTACAGGGAACCCTGTCTCAAAAAACAAAAACAAACAAAAAAAAGGAAACCCATAGACTAGGATTTTAACAGCAGCAGTCACATGCATATGAACCTTGTTTAGAAATGAGTCAAACAAAGGAAGTGTGCAAAGAATATTCACAGGCAATACAGGGAAAACTAACTAGATGCCTGGTGGCATTAGCAAATGTGTGTTTGTTCTGAAGCGGGTCTCATGTATCCCATGCTGGCCTCAAACCTGCTATGGAGCTGAAGAAGATCTTGACCGCCCAAGTACACCACCACCACTCCACATTTATGTGGTGCTGGGAAGTGAACCCAGGGCTTTGTGCAGGGTAGGTAAGCATTCTACCTACGGGGCTACATTCCCAGCCCCATTGATGAGGTTTTGTTGATGTTGCTTAGATAGGACAATATCAAGGTTTTCACTGTTTGTTAAAGCTTGTTGTCTTTTAGAAATCCGCACCGAAATGTTTATGGGTAAAATTCTAGGGAAACTGGGATTCACTGCAAAATAATCAGAGCAGCAGGGAGGTGGGGAGTGGAAAGGGCTGGTCAGGAGCTGATAACCTTTGAAGCTAGGAGGCACAGACCGTCAGCACAGATAAAACATTTGCCATAATAAAACAAAAAGTTTTGATTTTTTTGTTTTATCAAATTTCAGAATTTGAGTGCAATTTCACAAAGGAAATATTAGCAATAGTGATTAACTATTCAGAATATGTTGTACAGACCCATTTAACACACAGTGGAGCTACTGATGAAAATACCACAGCTGGGTGAGATAAGGCTTTACCTGTAGTCCAGTGGGGGTGGGGAGATGAGGAGCTGCACGTTAAATTCAAAACCAGCTTGGACAAGAAGGGAGGAGGAAAAGAGGAAGGAAGGGAGGGAGGAAAGGAGTGAAAACTGTAAACTCTCAGTACTGTTGTTTCCATGTGAAAAGACCTTCCAAGCTACAGTTAGGGCTTCAGTCCTCCTGGCAGGCAGGCGGTATCGATAACAGCACAGGCTCCAGATGTAGAGGAACAGGTGTGACTTAGGAAAGAAGGATGCCTACAAGGGGCTAATTTTAAGACCCCAGCAGTAGGAGCTGGAAAGAAAGATAGCTCAGTGGTTGAGGGAACTTGCTCTACCAGAGAGCCTGGGTTCAATTCCCAGCACCCATGTGGTAGCATACAACCACCTGTAACTCCCAGTATAAACCAGTATGGTTGGTTCATAACCAACCATAACTCCAGGTCAGGGGATCTGGCACCCTCTTCTGACATCTGTGGGCACCAGATACACACACACACGGTGTACGTACATACATGTAGGCAAAATACTAATATACATAAAATAATCTTTTTTTTTTTTTTTTTTTTTTTGTTTTTTTTTTTTTTTGTTTTTTTTTTTTTTTTTTTTTTTTTTTTTTTGTTTTTCGAGACAGGGTTTCTCTGTGGTTTTGGAGCCTGTCCTGGAACTAGCTCTTGTAGACCAGGCTGGTCTCAAACTCACAGAGATCCGCCTGCCTCTGCCTCCCGAGTGCTGGGATTAAAGGCATGTGCCACCACCGCCCGGCTACATAAAATAATCTTAAACAAACAAACAAAAAGATTCCACAACTAAGAAATTATCTCCGCCTTTTCTACTTAGTAACAAAGATAAAATGATTTCTATAAGATATACTGGATGCAAAATCTGTTAAGGAACACCATTAGGTTATTAAAAATGAAAAATACAGCTCATTTTCTTGTATGCTTTTACTTTTTCTTTTGTTTTATTTTCAAGACAGGGTTCCTCTTTGTAGACCTGGCTATCCTGGAACTCGCTGAGTTGAACAAGCTAGCATCAAACTCAGAGATCCACCTGCCTCTGCCTGCCAGTGCTGGGATTAAAGACATGCATGAGTCACTGTCTGGCTTCCATGGAGACTTTTTAAAGCAGACAGCATTTATCTGAGTAAAATGTTTTCATTGGGAGCCAAGAGCAGCAGTAGCTAACTTCTGAGAAAAACACCTAAATGATCCGACCCCTCAGCACTCAATAGAAACAGCCTTCCTGCCTGGCGGTGTTACTGCATGCCTTTAATCCCAGCACTTGAGAGGCAGAGGCAGCGGATCTCTGTGAATTCGAGCCCAGCCTGGTCTACAAGAGCTAGTTCCAGGACAGGCTCCAAAGCTACAGAAAAACACAGTCTCGAAAAACCAAAAAGAAAAAGAAAGAAAGAAAGAAAGAAAGAAAGAAAGAAAGAAAGAAAGAAAGAAAGAAAGAAAGGAAAAGAGAAGAGAGAGAGAGAGAGAGAGAGAAAGAAAGCCTTCCTTTCCTTCCAGCCAAAGCACGAAGAAGAAGAGACTGTCAGTCACTGAGCCGTGGCAGAGAAGATGACAGAGAAGGCACGGTGCCCCCTGCTTGAAGCAGTTTGGAGCTGTGGTCATAACAAAGTACCTGATCGGGTGATCTCCACAAGTCTTGGGTCGCTCCATGACTGACACCCACTTGTCATCGTAGCTGAAGAGAGACAAATCCAGGTAGGGGCTGCCACTGTAAGACTGGGCACTGATGGGGAGCTGGCCTAGCAGCCGACGCACAGCCTCCGTGTGGCCTCCATACTTGGCATTTATAATCGTGTCTTTGAACCTAGAACAAAGGGCCAGTGAGGAAGGCTTTCTCACGCTCACACACACGCTATACACATGCAGAAGCTTTATAAAAGATGTAAAATCACCACTTTCCCTGCAGCTCTTGTGAACTAGGGCTTTCACCAGCTGTTTCAATGCATCTCGGAAACCATCCTGAACCTCATTTGCCAGAAAAGGAAAGGTTCCTTAGAGACCCTGTTAGATATAACCAAGAGCCACCAAAACCAGTACATACAGCTACTGGAAAGACATTAACCACAACTCTCAGGTGAGGGCCCCATAACCACGTGGCTATGTCTCACCCTTTCCTGAGCGCCTCTCTAGTAACCCTTGTTCTTAACCCTGTTCTTAGATCTGCTCAAAAGGTCTAATAACTTCCAATTCTGCTACGCCCTGGCTCATCCTAAGATTCTTTTCTGTTGTCATGATATGGATCTGCTTGCACTCCAGTGAAGGTACCCATAGGACAAGGGAACTCCTCAGGCTACTGCAGATGGCACCATGGAGCTGTATCTCTGCCCCTGTCACGATCTGTACATTGCCCAGACGATCTGTACATTGAATCATTTCCTAGTCTTCAGCAACACCCACCATATCTCCACCCTGCCAGCTCCACACTGCCTGAAACATGAAGAAGCCATCCTTCTGGTATCTGCAGCGCTTAGCCCTTGGCTGTGTCACTCTGCCCAACTAACATCTCTTAATTCTAAGTGACTTTAAAATTCTCAGTAGCCATCTTAATGACATGACCTCCCATCCTAACTTCCTCTCACCCTGTAACCACTGTAACCCGAGGTGGCCCATTCCAGGTTCCGGCCATCCTCTGTCTCCCCAGATTCAGTCTAATCCACACCCCAGCTTCAACAATCCTTCAAGACCCGCTGACTCCACCAGCATTTTCCTTCCACCTCACACACCCATCGTGTCCTCTCTTCGTTAGCCACCTTACAATCCAGTTAACCATGAAACAGCTCACTGCACACATGCTCTAAACCTTGAACTACGACTTAGATTGGTGCTCCAGTCAAGTTCAGCTCTGCTGATTCTGTGCCTGTGCTGCTCAGTTTCCTGCGGCTGGAGAAAAGCAAACAGGAATGCTTGCTTCGACCTTACGGCCACAAACCCCACGCAGGCCTTCAGTGTGGAGGGATACTCCTCTGCGCTTCCAGTCTGGCCTGCCTCCCACTCTCTGCACAGCTACCTCATCTGCCTCTGGTGTGTTACTGACGAATGCAGGGAAGCAGAAAAGAACCTCTAAGGTCTCCACAGAGCATCCGTCCTTGCATGGCACTCAGCAGATCTCATCTCTCACATACGAGGCAGCATCTTTCTCTACAGGATCAGTCCCGTCAACACACAAACATGCCATTTTTACTTCTCAGTGTAAAATAAGGAAAACCATCTGGTTAGTGACAGAGGTCTGTGACCCCAGCTATTTGGGACACGGAGGCAGAACTGAAAGTTCAAGACCAGTCTGGGCAACTTGGTGAGACCCCTTAAAATAAAAAATGCAGAAAGATGGCTGGGATACAGCACTTGTCAAACACACCAGAGGCCCCTGGGATCAATCATCAGTGGGCAGCGGCAGAGAGGCAGAGGGAGCCAGAGGGAAGAGGGGGAGGGAGGGGGGAGGGGGAAGGGAGCTAGAGAGGAAGGAAGAGGGTTGGGGAAAGAGAGAGAGAGAGGAAACTCAACACCATCTGCCACTATGCTGGTCAAACACTGCACCATCTGAAGTTGAACAACAGTCATTTGTGTCCCAGGCCTGTCTCCAACCAGGAGCCCTTGTGCACTCCAATCCAGCCACCAGGCCTCATTGGTGTCCTTCAAAGGCTTCAGAACTCCTCTGCCTTGGGTTCCTTATTGCCTCTGCTGAGTGTTATCTGTCTTCCTGGTTAACCACAGGTAGCTCCTGGTCTCCTTCAACAGCTCTGCTTACATGCCATTGATGGCGCTACCAGAATAGCAGGAATGATACACTCAGGCCCTCCAGACTCCGGCCCAGCTCCGCCTTTTCCTGAAACACTTCCTTCACTCTCTCAGCCCCTCAGGTCTGATCTGTGAGGCTTGATCCTGCATCTTCCCTTTCAGCGCCCTCAGTGCTCTGGCTCTGCTGATGAAAAGCCATCCCTGTCCTATGCGGCTTATCTTCCAAAGGCACAGAAAGGATGATTATATTTCTGGGTCTACAGATCTGGAAATATCTTTGAATATGGGATTTTCTTCTTTTCTTTTCTCTTTCTTTCTCTCCCTTCCTTCCTTCCTTCCTTCCTTCCTTCCTTCCTTCCTTCCTTCCTTCCTTTCTTTCTTTCTTTCTTTCTTTCTTTCTTTCTTTCTTCTTTTTCAAGATGGTTTCTCAGTGTAACAGTCCTAGCTGTCCTGGAACTTGCTTTGTAGACCAGACTGGCCTTGAACTCACAGAGCTCGGCCCACCTCTGCCTTTCAAGTGCTGGGATTAAAGGCATGCGCCACCACTGTCTTGCTGAATATGGATTCTAAATGAGAAATCCTTTCACCAGGCACAGTGACAAGCATCTGTAACCCCCATACTCAGGAACCCAAGTCAGAAGAACTATAAATTCAAGGCCAGCCTGGACTGTTCTTGTTGGTGGCACCAGGGGTGGGGACAGATTGAATCCAGGACCTGTGAGTACAGGAAAGTCCTCTATCCCTGCACTGCATGCGCAAGCCCGTGAGATCACCCCTGTTACAATTCTCTGAAGGCAAGATCTCCACACTTGCAGCTCTGAGCACCGCCACTGTCACCATTCTGATAACATGAGACATGTATGTTATTCCTCAGTTTCTGTGATTTACCGTCAGCTCCAATGTTTCAAAACGCCATGGCATGCCTCCATGTGGGCCTCTTCTCTCCAACTATACTAAGTACTTATTGTGGTACTTAGATTTTTCTTGGGGGGGGGAGGCATGACTTGTAACATTTGCCAATTTCTGTGGTGCAGAGCTTCCTGCTGTGGCCAGGTTCAAGGTAGCACTGTGACGTCACCAAACACTGTTGGAGATGAGCCACAGCACTTCCCTATGTAGCTTCCACCAACAGATGACGATAACCTCAAAAGGACGGTAAGGCCAAAGTAAGGGAGTCATCTGCAAAAATTCCTGAGACTTAACACTTGGCTCCAATAGCCATGGATGGTCGGGCCAAGCTAAACAGTTCCCTCCGTCAGAGTCAGAGAGTGCTCACACTGTTTCTACACCTTTGACCCTCGAGTTCTCCTTTTTTGGGAACGGTCAGGTAGAGAACTCTAGGGCAAATGCTCTCAACTTTTTCTTTAACTTTCTTTCCATTTCTCTACCTGCTCCCTCTTTTTCCCCTCAGAGAATTCTTCAGCTTAATCTAACAAATTTTAGGTTTCCTAGAGCATCAGTGTTTAAGACACCCTTGTATTTGCAACTTGAGTTGTTTCAGGACTGCCTCTTGCTATGCTAATCTGTTTGGTCTCTTAGGATAAAGGCATTTGCTTCTTAAACGATTCAGGACTCAGCAGTCCAGTTTGTGTGTTTGCACGCTTTGTGCTAACCCATCAGCTACTCGTAGCTTTTGCTTCTCACAAAGACTACTAGAGAACATTTACCACACAATTTCCACTAAGAGTCACGTATTTACAAGAAATAAAGATGGAAACTCAGTTCACATGTACATTATATATTCATTAAAGCAAACTATGATAGGGCGGCTAACAAAATCTACTCAGGACACATTTTGTGGGCAAGTGTACGAGGGCATTTATGACTTTCCACTCCTCGGTGGTATGAAACAAAGTCTTTAGGCTCACTGAATGAGCATGCAACTTCTCTCACGAGGAGCCTGCGGTGCTCCTCACTCTAGAGGAGTTCTGACACACTTTCCCAAGAGTGTCGTCCCACTCCTCCATGACAGGCAGCTCTGGGCTCCGCCCAGCCGACAGAAGCTAGCCTTGGAGTGGACATGGCAGTGAACTGAGATCAGAATCACCTAGATGGTGCTGGCCCATGGCCACACCTGTGGCGACTGCTGCTTTAATTACTAATGAATGAAGAAGGGCCCAGCCCGCTGAAGAAAGGTGGTACCAGACTACACCAAAAAGCTAGCTAGGAAGGAGCTGGGAACAAGACACTAAGCAGCGCTCCTCTGTGGTTCTATATCGGTTCCTGCCTCGAATCTCAGCTCGGATTTTCTTCAGCAATGGAGTGTCACCTAGAAGTATCAGTTGAAATGAACCCATTCTTCCCCAGGGGGTTTTTGGTCATGGTGTTTATCAAAGCAACAGGAAGAAACGAGGACACCTACCTTCTGTAACATGATAATAAGATAATTAACTTAATTTTGAAAGACGATTCCTAGGTTCATTTGACAGCACTGCCACCAGAAAGGGAGAGAAGTGGTACCCCACCCTGTAATCCCAGCACTAGGAAGTCTGAGGAGGGGGAATCACCTTGGGTCCAAGACCAGCCTAGGCTTCACAGTGAGACTGAGAAGGAAGCTGTGCTCCTAAGGCAGAAGCGAGAGGGCACAGGCAATGAGGCGTCAGCATCTCTCCATCTAACCCACCACTGTCCCTGTACACACAGAGCCACTGCATTAAGTCACCTTTTTGCTCATCTTTCCCAGAAGCAGTAATGCTCACTCTGATTCATCTACTCCATGTGATCTGGCCTATTTGGGGATCAAAAACAGATATTCTCCATGCCTCGTTAAGGCTAGGGCAATTTAGGTATGAAAGACAAGGAGGCCTTACCTGACCACATCAGACTTAGAATGGGTTCTTGGCCCAAAGGAACTATTCCTTTCCTGCTAATGTACTAAGACGGTTCTTAGATAAGATGGACTTCTGGTTTGTCTTCTGTTCTTACGGTCCAGCCCTCTATCCCTGCACTTTACTTTTAGAGGGGTTTACCATAGAACAGATGTAAATGGATGTGTTCAATATGCAGTTCCAAAATGATCTCCATCACTCATTCCACAAATATTTAAGGGCTTGGCAGTGCACCACTGAGAATACAGCAATAAACGGAAGAAGTTTCTATCTTTCAGCAGCTCACATACGGCCTAAGAAGGACCCAGAAGATGCATAAATAATTACACAGGTCCTCAGAGATAGGAAAACTTGAGCACGACACAGGAGTTGCTTCCAAAAGGCAGACCTCCCAAGGCCAGGTGGACAAACAGAATACATAGTTCCTGAAACAAATGGCTATCAGCCACTGAGAGTTAACCCTGGGAAGTCTGGCAGAGCAGCTTACCGGCGCTGGATCTGCCGTGCAAAATTGTTGCTAGAGGCGGAACAAGGAAACTGGACTTCACTGTGCAGGGTGGCATTGCGGAAGAGGTCACAGAAGTTCTCAAAGAGCTCCAGCAGCTCATCAGATGTATTCTCAAACACTGCGATCACCTCTGTTGTCACCATGTTGTACACCACGAAGAAGGAGGCCTGCGGAAGAAAAGAGGCAGCCATGGGACACCCGTGCCTAGGAAACTGCCCGCTGGACTTAAAGTCCACACCCCACAACAATCCATTCAGGGACCCCAGCCTTGGCACTAGAGAGGGAAGGAACATGGCTCCAGAGCTTCTAGAAACGGGGGCAATGGCATTGGCTCCATTGGTGGAGAGCCCTGATGCCACTAGATTACCCAGGGCCACCATGCTGCTTGGATTACTAAGCTAGCCAGCATGTATATATAAAAAGGCTTTCAATCTTTCACTTCAAACTGTGCAAATTCAATATTTTTCTTTCCAAGTGTTTATTCCCCGACTTGTTCCCCAATCCACCCTAAGATTTAAAAAAAAAAAAAAAGTTTTAAAATGCCAGATTTAATTTTCTTTCCTGCTGAGAAAGTGATTTGCAGCCCAGGGCTGCCTGTTGGTAAATGATTTCCTCTTCTATGTGTACAGTTGAAAGTTCAATTTAGGGGCATTTATTTTTCCCCTCTTAATATTTCTAGCACACAGAGAGACACCTTAAGCACATTGTGTGCTCAAACTGCCCAGGCAAGTTGTGTCCACGCAGGATACTGCAGAGGAACAAATGAAAAATCAGACCGGCATTTTCCATTTCTTTCTCCATAAATGTTCTTTCAGCCAAGAGCTTTTGTGAGATACATCTGAGATTTCTGGCAATTAAGATTGGAGGGGGAGCTTGAAAAGCATTCAAATGCCATAGGTGGCAGGCTTTTTCTGAATGGGGCCACGGGTGGCTGGGGCTCTTCCTCGACACTCCAGTGCTCCCTCCGCCTTGCCTAGCAGGAAGCTCCAGGTACGTTGAGTTTGTGTCGCAGTGAATGCAGCAGTGTGCAGTAAAGCTGCAAGCTGCCTGCAGGATTCAAAGACGTCTTCAGGACACAAGGATTAGCGCTTCACCCTCCTCTGATTGAGTCTAAATCTCTATTACCCATCTTGGAGCCACTGGGCCCACCTGTCTCACTAGTAATTAGTCCTGCCCAGAGCTCCTTTTACATGACTTTGTAGTCACCTGGAAATTAAATTTGGCTGCAAATTAAAGAGGCTGGAGGGCAACCTGAGAATAATACCCATAATATTACCAAGGCTTTGTCTATGGATGCAGTTTTTACTCATTAACCTTATGGAAACTTATCAAATTAAACGGGAGGAGGAGAGGAGAGGACAACTGGGGCACGGAGACTGGGTTTCGAGTTTCAAACTCCACGAGCAGAGGGCAGAGCCCCAGTGGCGTGTCTAGCTGTAACTGACTGGAACTACCAGAAAAAATAGGTCACCTTTTAGCAAAGGGAAGAAAAGGATAATCTCCGTGCAGTGATAACAGACAACTTATTCCTTCCAAAATAGAAAGGTAATTATAGCTGAAACCTAAATAAAAGACTGACTCATGTCCCATCCACAGACTAGGACACCGCTTTGATCATATCAGGGTTTTAACAGGATCTTTCATAATTACGTGACTATAAAATTACACACACACTTGTCAGCCTTCCCTCTACAGCAGACTGGGAAACTCAGGACAGGAGGAGAAAGAAGTCAAGGACTCTTCCACCCATCTTCCATGACGCGAAAGTTGAACTAGATGCTCACCGCGGCGGCTCAGTGACACTGTTCATCATTAACAAGGAAGAAAAAGAAAAGCTGACCCAATCGCCACCCGCTCCCCTTTTCAGAATGAGCAAGCTCTGATGGGGAGGGCGGGGGGGGGGCATTGGAAGATATTTTACCACAGGCTGAGCAAGGCTTAGAAATGATGTCCTGTAGAGTATCTCTTCCTTCCTTCGTCTCTCATACATATGTCTGTGCCACACCTGGGCACACAAAGGCCTAAGGCTGATGCTGGGAGCCTTCTTCAGTCCCTGTCCATCCTACTCATTAAGGTGGTGCCTGTTTGTGGGACCCGGAACTTGGCAACTAGCCATTTTGCTCTGTCCCCACCTTCTGAGCACTGGGATTACAAACAGACCACCACACCCACCTGGCACTTAGGTTGGTTCTGGGAATCCAAACTCCCCTCATGTTTATAAGCCAGATGCTTTATCCACTGAGCCAACCCCCACCAATGTATAGTACCTCTTGAAGGTAGAGCTGGCTGACGTCTTAGTTTGCTATCTGCTTTACTGTTCTCTATTTCTAAAATAGGGAATTCCAAACAGGAGACCCGACTTTTGGTAAGGGAGCCAAAGGTACAGAAAGTAGGCCTCTTACTGGAGAGCTTTTGAGAGACAAGTGTTCAGGGTTCCCTGGATTTCCAGAGGGTACTTTAACTGTCTCAGTACTGCCTGTGTGATTCCTTCCCAGCACTTCCCTGCCTTTGGCGTTTGGAATCAAGGTTATATGGTACTATCTGGTCTGGAACTCACTGCCCTTGAACCCAGGTGAGAAATTCTCTTTGCCTCCAGCGTCCCATGGCTGGGATTATCAGCATTGTGAGTGCTCCATTAACCTGGCTGCAATGTCAGAGTTTAGATTTTTTTTTTTTTCAGTGCTGGGGACCCAAAGCCTCGTATGCTAGACAAGCTCTCTACCTCTGAGCCCCAAAGGACATGGAGTGCTCATTCTCACTGCCAGACGTGTTTGGTTCAATAAGCAGCCTTATAAAAGTCTAGGCAGGATTATACATATGTGGTCCAAACCCCGACCTTACAGCATCCAGGCTCCTGTCTGACAGGTACTGAAAATGCCCCGTGGAACAACTGAGCTAAGAAGCACAAAGCTGGCTGTCTACGTGGCAGTGGCTTGACTTTTACCCTATATTTGTTAGTAAGTGAGGACAGACGAGAAGGAAACTGACTTTAAGTCTGAACCCAAGTACAGCAAGAACAGATGCTACGTGAAGGTGTGCACTCCTGCGGGGCTCGGCCTGTACCTGAGACGGGTCTGTGACCCGTAGGGTCACTACGTCCTCGCTGGTGTATTTGATGAACAGATGGTTTTCATCCAGCAGCTGCATCTTCCACATGCGCAGCTGCCGCAGCTGGTCAAAGTACTGGAAGAAACGCCTCTTGGCCATGGGGCTCCCGTCCTGCTCTGCTCTGCGCCACAGGTACACCAGCAGGCGGTGCTTCAGGGAATTGATGAAAGGGTCCCTAAAAGGACTGGCCATGCCTGTCTGACTGTCCCGCTGCACCTCCGGGAAAACGGCTGACACTGTGAGCAGGTCATCCTCGTAGCAGAAGCGGCCGATGGTCCGAACATCGATAAATGTGCCTTCAGGCGTCACCTGGAAGACGTGAATGGTCTGCTGCTGCACGGACAGGATGGCCAGGATGTTTTTGTACAAGTACAGCCCCTGGTTGTGTGACAAGACCACTTTGTCACACTTGAAGGTGCGTGTATCACACAAACGGCCCGTGTGAAGGTCAATGATGTGGAGGGAATAGTCCTCCAGAGGGGACCGTGGATTGGGGGTCACGGACTCACTGTTCCGATAGACCTCATAGAAAGGAGGGTGCGGTTCATCTGGGAGATAGGCAGCGGAACCCACGATGACACACCGGCAGTCATCAGTGAAGAGGCTGCACTCCCGGTTCAAGTGCTCACCATTGGCTGCGACATTGGTAATGTGCAACAGGACGAAGAAACGTTCAAAAAGCCGGCCTCGGATGCTAACTGATCGCTGGTCATTGCCATTGGACAAGATCTCCCCTTCATAGCCTTGCAAGAGGTCCTCGGCTGCCTGGCAGCCCTGGTACTCATAAATCTCAAGAGATGTCTGGTCAGAAGAAAAAGCAATAAAGTAGCGCCCATCAGGTGAGAATTTACGCAAGAAACAAGGAGGCTTCTCAACGTTGACGACGGTGAAGTTAGGGAAGACATTCTGGTGGAACACCCGGACCTGATGCCAGTGGGCCCCCGCCCTGCCTGAGCTGATGCGCCGGCGTTCTAAGCGGTGAATGACATTCTGATTTTGGATTCTTCGGGGTTTGATGGTGGAAACATGATGATCCATTATAACATCTCTGCATAGGAAAAAAAAAAACCAGAAATCAAGAAAACAGAACAAAATGTACTAATACAAGTACATGCAAAGTAAACAGATCACTTTTACTCTGGCTGAACCCAGGATCTCCCCGGACAACAGTGACCAGCATTTCTCCTTCCAAGATTACACAGTGATCTTGACATATCTAAACCTAAACATCTAAAAGGAGGATACCATACAGAAAGAATACCTTCCAAGTATAAGCTAACAGGAATTTTCAAAGAATAAGCCAAGAAGCACATCAAACATGAACAGCACAAAGATCACACACCCGGGGTGCGGTGACACACAAGTAAAAACCACCACCACCACTCAGGAGGCCGAGGCAGGAATATCACTTCAAATTCAAAATCAGACCAGAATACAGACTGAAATCTTATCTTTGCTTATTTTTTAAACAGAATCTCGTGTATCCTAGGTAGGCCTCGAACTTGGCATGAAGCCATGGATGACCGCCAACTTCTGGTCCTTCTGTCCCAAACCTCCAATACTGGGATTACAGGCTTGTGCGCCCACACCTCGTTTACGGGGTGCTGGGTCTCAAAGCTAGAGCCTTGCACGTGTTAGGCAAGCACTCTATCAACCTTGCTACTTTCCCCAGCCCCAGGAGCCTGTCTTTTTAAAATAGAGTAGCATTGAATGTACATATATACACCTACTGGGCTGTAAAATGATAGATTAAAGCAATCTCTATCAAAATCCCAATGGGATTTTTGTGAAAACACAAAATTTCACCCGAAAGTAATATGAAATCTCAAAGAATGCCAAATAACTAAGATGATACAGAAAATAACACAATTGGAATGCTCATATTTTCTCATTCCAGAACCTATTACGAAGCCATAATAATAATAAAAGCATAACCATTGCATACACAGGCCAGCTGAAAAGAACAGAGTCTCAAAATAAACCACGATTAATCTTATTTATCAACATGCTCTAGGTTCTCAACCTGTGGGTTACAACCCATTTGGTGGCTGAAGGACCCTTTCACAGCGTCACCCAAAACCATCAGAAAGCAGATATTTACACTATGATTCATAAGTACCAAAATTACAGTTAAGAAGTAGCAACGAAGATAATTTTAAGGCTGGGGGTCACCACAACATGAGGACCTGTATTAGAGGGTCCCAGCATTAGAGAGACTGAGAAGCACTGCTCTAGGAGATCAGTGAAGCACGCCTCTCGGTGTCTGTGCGTTCATTCCAGAGTCTAGTAGACTACGAGGGTGCGGCGCACTACGCCCATCTGCGCTCTATGTGCCACCATACAGTTCGTGAACCAGGCAAGGGGCTGGAGATTGAAACACACACAGACCCACAGACGGACAGAGACACGGGTCATCCTTGGAACAGGAATGCCTCCTTTATTGTGTCCAGGGACAGCTTATACAGGGATCCTTAACTGATAGCTGAACCCCAACCAAATGCACCAGCACCCACTCCCCTGCCATCAGGAACTCCCGAGGGTCTTGTGCTCAGAGCAGCTGCAAGCATTACAAGCTGTTTTCCAGAAATTCAGGATCTGGGTGGTTCACAGCTCCCAATGTGAGGGCTCTGGTCTAACCAATGGATTAATAGCTCACGGATTCACAAGCCAGCATTACTGGGAGGTGACAATGGGTAGAAGACCTCAGTGGGAGAGGCCCGGACACTTGACTTTGGAAGCTAATCTCATTCTGTCCTTTCCTGCACACCTTTCCTCTGCTTCCTGTCTTCCAGACCCTCCCCATGATGCTGGACTGAGCCCTCTGAAACTCAGACAAGGCACAGCTCCCCCCTGTTGAAATAGGAGCGGCGACGGGGCTGCGTCCCCAACACCCCGGCCGCTTGGCTAGCTCATGCCCGAAATAACAACACACAAACTGTATTCAAAGCTGCTTCCTCAGGTACCAAGCTGAAGCCAAATAAGCTCACACACAGACAAAACTGCTTGGTGCTCAGGAAGGCCAAGGCCATGCAACAGGAAAGGGGAGTTTCTCCAGTGCACAGCTTCTGGACGACTGGGTATCGTACACAAACGAATTTTGAAAATAAAATTATACCCTTATCTTCCATTATTTACAAAAAAAAAAATTAACTCAAAATGAATTAAAAACTAAGTGGAAGACCTCTAGCTACAAAACTTCCAAAGGAAACTACAGGAGGAAACTTGATGAAAATGGATCTAGCAATGACTTTTTATGATGTGAAACCAAATCCATGGGCAACACAACTAGAAATGGTTAAACGTGAATACATAAAAACATCTAGGTCCTAAAAGTTGCAGTTAGAAAGCACAAAAGGATGCCAGGCTTGGTGGCACAAGCCTTTAAGCATTGGGGAGGCAGATCTCTGTGAGTTCAAGGTCAGCCTGTTCTACAGAATGAGTTCCAGCTCAGCCAGGGCTACACAAAGAGTCTCAAAATAAATTTAAAAAAAAAAAAGTGAAAGGGCAACCTATAGAATGAACAGAAATATTTGCTGGCCAAATATATAATAAGGAGTTCATACTTAGCGTATTTAAAGAATTCCTAGAACTCAATGAATAGGCACAATTTTTTGTTTGTTTTGTTTTGTTTTTCAAGACAGGGTTTCTCTGTGTCCTGGAACTAGCTCTTGTAGACCACGCTGGCCTCGAACTCACAGAGATCCACCTGCCTCTACCTCCCTAGTGCTGGGATTAAAGGCGTGCGCCACCACCGCCCGGCAAAACCCAATTCTTAAAAAGAAAATAATTAATTAATTAAACCAGATAAAATACTTGGAAGACATCTCCCCAAAGTCACACACATGGCCAACAAAGAAAGAATGCACACCAATCATCAGAAAGGAATCAAAAGATTGGGGGGGGAGGGGTGAGAACGTTTGGCAAAGGCTTTGTTAACAAGTAGCCCAGAAACCCTACAACCCACAGTAAAGGTATTGTTTCGCAATCCTTTTGTTTCAAGCTTATCCAAGTCCAAGCTTCATCCACCCGATAAGGATCTAAAAGGCAAGGCGTGCTGAGCTAGACCTGAGGGAGTCAAGACTCTAAACTACTACCCTGGTTGGTTTTGGAAAGAACTTCCCCTGGAACACAACCACACTCACTAATTTACACATTGCCTATGGCCACTTCAGCCCTAGGAAAGAAACACTGAGCATCTGTAACAAGTCGCCTTTCATAGAAACCAAATTCTTCACCTTTGAGAATGACCTGGGGTATCAGCTTCATCATCTTGTCTTCGAAGACCTTCTTTCATGTCTGTGAGACTGATATCCCAACACACTAGCCAGGCCTCTTCTTTCCCGCAACTCTGTGTTTTACTTATGTGCATACTTACGGTGGCTTTTCTGGGTCAGCTACACCTCTCCTGTGCCCACATAGCAAGCTCCCTCTTAAACCCTGGGCCTACCTCAAGCCATATTCTCGGCCAATGCGGGAAAACACAGGGGTATCTCTTCCTTTTCCGAAATGCATTCTCCCCGGTCCTTGCCTTAACTTCTCCTGTTCCATCTTTAGCGTCGATATTTGGAAAGTCTTTCTTGACCATCCTCCCTAAATGAGGGCTCATCTTTTTCTTGCTCTTTCTATCGTATTCTGTCGCAACTTTTATTTACATGTTCGCTTGCATGACTGTGTTTCATGTTTGGGTCTCCTCGCTGAACCTCGCTCAACAGTACTCTATGTATTGGAAGAAACCAGGTCTATTTCGGTCGTAACGGTTTATTCTTTATCTAGCCCTAGGGGCAGCACATGAAGACGCTTTTTGAATTAAAAGAAAGCCTGGCTACATTGGGTCACTAAATGTGTCAAAGCAAGGAGTTGGTTTTTTGTTTTGTTTTGTTTTTTTTCCTCGTTAGAGCAAGTGCACACGTCCCCTCACTTGGCGACTGCTTTCAAAACAAGAAAAGGATGCCAAGAGGCAGACACACATGCCCAAGGGGCGCCCCCGGAAAGAAAAGCCCAGGGCGGAGCCTCCCGGGGCAAAGCCTGGCGCTGGGGCTCGTGGGGCCCGGGTATCATGCGGGGAGGAGCCCGCCGCGGAGCTCCCACCGGCCGTAAAAGACAAGTCCTCACCTGTCGGGTCCTGGCTCATGGGGCCGGGGCAAGGGTCGCCCTAGCCTGCTCGGTGCACACCTCCCCCGGCCCCGCCCACGCCATGCCTCCGGACCCCGGCGTCTGCTGCCACAAACCCCCTGCTTCCGCCCGCTACCGGAAGAGCTGCGCAGCGAGAAGGGAAGTACGGAAGAGCGAGCTGCCACCCAGCTGAGGAACGACGCAGCACACCCTGGCGGCTGGAGGAGGGATCGAGGCTGTCGAGGCTTGGATGGAAAAACCCTGAGCCTTGGGGATGATCTAAGGCATATTCATAGTAACATGAACAGGAATTAAGTTTTCACCTGCTTCTCCCGTAATGGTGGGAAATGGGATTATACATGCACGGGGTCATTCTCCGCGCTCACTGCTATTGGTGGGCACAGAGCATACAGTAAAAACTTCTGTGCTAAATGAATCCCGTAGAATTTACTGGCCTTGCACCGACACATGATTTCATTCAATTTCTTACAAGCCAGTTTTTACCTACGAGCCAATGGCTTCTCCTAGGCTGTCTAACCCCTAATTGTCCCACATCAACCTCTTAACCTCTTTTGGATCATTCAAGTCTTTACAAATATGTTCTCTCTCTCTCTCTCTCTCTCTCTCTCTCTCTCTCTCTCTCTCTCTCTCTCTCTCTCTCTCTCTGTGTGTGTGTGTGTGTGTGTGTGTGTGTGTGTGTGTGTGTGTGTGGTGTTTGTCTTTTGATGTTTTGACAGGAACCCAAACCTGAAATGTCACCTCTTAAGTCTCCCGAGTCACCATCATCACTATTTCTTAACCCATAGGTCTAATACCTGTTTGTGTTGCTTTGTTTTGCTTCTCTGCCCTTTTGATAGAGTATAAGCTGGGAACTGGGGTTTTGTCTTATTTTCTATTCCAGTCCTATAACAAGGTTTGGCATCTTACAGAAGCTCAATAAAGAGTCCCTCGGTGAGCCATGAGTGGTGGTTCATGCCAAATATCCCCAGCTCTTATGAGGCATAGGATATGCAGTTCAAGGTCAGGCTGAGCCTTGCTTTCTCCCTCAACTCCCGCAGAAGACTCTGCACACAACACCACGAGGAAGGGCTATTGGTTGACTTTTATGGGGTTGGGGATGAGAGGGATTGACGCTTAAGGAAGAAAGGTGACTTATGGATATGGAGAGGTTGTAAAGAGAAAGGTAGATTTCTAGCCCAGTCCTAATATTTCCAAGCTGAGTGTTCTCAGGTGCTGGCTTCAGAGCCTCTACTCCCTTTTCTGTGAAATGATTATACCCACCTCTTAAGGTTATCCACAGTCTTAAATCTGTCTTGATAAAATATTGCTAAAGCTGTTTGGACACAATGCCTCCTTCCCTTCTCCATGATAAAACTGAGACCCTAAGAGGGATGTGTGTCACTTACCCAAGTTCATGGAACAGTAAGCAGCAGTAGGGGGTAGCGGCACAGATCTTATAGTCCCAGCACTTAGGAAGCAAAGGCAGGAGAATCAGGAGTTCAAGGCCAACCTTGGCCGCGCAACAAGTTCGTCAGCCTTGGCTTCAGTGCCCCAATGCAAAGCTCGACAAACACGAGACAGGGCTGTGATTAGCACTCGAGACATCTGTCTCTTTCTCGACAGAGGTAACCTCCTCCAGATCTAATTCCAACCCAGCCAGGTGGGTCCCTGTGTGATGTCAAGGCATGCGCCTGCTTCTCCGAGCCTGTCTTTTTCATCTCTAAAATGTACAATGTTCTTCTGACTTGGTTATTGAGGGATCAGATAGAAGGCTAAATTTAAACTAGCGAATGTTTTGAACATGGAAATAATTCAGGCCCGCTGCTTCAGCTCGGGGCCTGCCTCAGGTCTGAAAGGAAGCGTTCCTAATGACAGCTGTTTAGGATTAGGAAGGAAATTATCACTTCTGTGTAGTTGTGGGAGGGATGGCGTGGAGTCAACCTTCAGAAGAACTATCCTTAACTCACATCATGGAAAAATAACTCCAAATGGATCTGATCCCTACAGACAGGCTAAAGCCTCAGAAGACACCTTAAGCTTAATTCTTGTAACCATGTGTTAGTCCATGGCTTAAAGGAAAGCAAAGAGGAAGCATATATCAATGCAACTTCCTTAAAATAAAACAATTGCTGTGCTTCAAAGGACTCTTATTAAGTGGGAAGTCAAAGCTGTGTGTGGCAGAAGCAAGACAATTGTGAGTGAGGCCAGCCTGGCCTACATAGCAAATTTTGGGCTAGTCTGGGCTACCTGAGGCTTTGTCTCAAGGAAAATAAAACCAAAAAGAATAAAATACTGATTCATGCTATGACATGGATAGACCTTGAAAGCATACCAGATGAAAGAAGCCTGCCACATTTTACTACAGATGATATGTCTCTGTGGATTCAAGACCACCCTGGGCTATACGAGACTGAATCAGTCTAAAAGAGAAACAGAGCCAACCAGTGGTGGCTCACACTTTTAATTCCAGTACTTGGAATCACATACCTTTAATTCCCCTCCTAGAAAGGTGGAGACAGGAAGGGCTATGGCTGGGCAGACAGAGGACTATAATGGAAGAGGAGACAGGAGTTTGACCCTTTTTGGTCTGAGGATTTTGTGGAGGTGAGAACTAGTAGCTGGCTGCTCTACTTCTGTGATCTTTCAGCTTTCGCCCTCTAATATCTGACTCCAGGTTTTTATTATTAAGTCCATTTAGAATTCATGCTACAGAAATACCCAGAAGAGACAAATGTATAATAATAGGAAGCAGGGATATGGGGTGCTAAGAGAGGAATACAGAGATTGCTGGTGTGGGATTTCTTTAGGAGAAATGAAAATGTATTAAGGTTAGGTAATGGTGACAGTTACACTTCTGCATATATGCTGAATAGCTACACTCCAAACCACTGAACTGAGCATTTTAAAATAGTGAATTTTGTAATCTGCAGGTAGCTCGAAAAGGGTTCTATCATGTTTAGGTGTCTCCAGCTCTGTGGATGGGACCACACATCCATTTTTCTGCAAACAAAATAATTTTGTTCTTCTTTACAGCAGAAGAAAGTTCCCTAGTGCACACATGACATGTTTTCTTTATCCATTCCCGTAACTACAAACATTTTCCATTCCACTGGTCCCCTTGGACCAGTTTCTCTCCACCCACCAGGTCCCACTCATTGGTTCTAGCAGCCTTTATGATATAATCATTCTGAGGCCTAATATTAATTACATACTCTTGGGTCTATTAGCCCAGGCTTCTTATTAACTAACTCTTACATCTTAAATTAACCCATTTCTATTAATCTATGTATCGCCACAAGGCTGCGGTTTACAGGTAAGGTTCTGACATCCTTCTCCTTTGGCAGCTATATGGCTTCTCCCTGGCTCCACCTTCTTTCTCCCTGCATTTAGTTTAGTTTTTCCACCTACCTATATTCTACTTTGCCATTGGCCAAAGCAGTTCTTTATTAACCAAAGATAATAAAACATATTCATAGCATACAGAGGGGAATCCCGCATCACGTCCCTCTGCTGTTGAACACCCAGGTTGTTTTCATGACCTGCTAAAATAAATTGGTGTTCAGGTAAAGATAAATTACCTAAACCAGCAGGACTGGCGATGTCAGTAGTGTGCTGCTTGTGTAGCACGTGGGAAGCTTTAGGTTCTATCCCCAGTACAACAGGGAAGACTGTTGCGGGAGGTCCTTCCGCCCCTCCAACCAATAGCTGCTGTGATACCAGCCCATTGGGGCGTGGTCTCTCTCCCTTTAAAAAAGCAGCTATTTCCTCTGCTCGCTCTCTTCACTTCCTGCTCCGCTGGAGACTAGACTCCCTTCCTGGTTGTGCAGATGGCTGTTGTCTGGGACGGTGATCTGTAAGTTTTCCCCTTTAAATAAATAACACCCTATTAATCATAACTCCAAACTGGTGTGGCCTTGTTCGTGACTTACGCCTTCAGAAGACAGAGGAGGAAAGGTCAAAAAGAAGGGAATTCCATCCCTGTAGATACAGAAGCAAGTTGTCAGGGTCCCTGACTGCAGGGGGATAACAGAAAGATGAGCAATAGCCCTTCTCTTCCCCGACGACCATCCTTGGCTTCTACACTTTCCCTAGGAGCCCATTCCTCAAGCTCATAATGTGACTGAGAGTGACCTAGGACTCCTGATTCTCCTTTCTCTACCTTCCTGGTGCTGGGATTACAGATGTGCACCACTATGTCTCATTTATGTGGTGCTGGGAATCAACACCAGGGCCTCGAGAAGGCTAGGCACTTTATTAACCAACCCATTTCTTTTCAAAGATATTTTAAAGGAGTGGGTCTTGAAGTGAGCCTAGTTCATCTTCCAAAACTCCTACCCATGAATTCCTTAACCCACCTGCATCTCAACCTTTCCACCTAGACAATTAGAGCAATAAAAACTACAGTCCTTATATCATGATTAGAGGCAGGGGGATAAAGTTAGTTATAATAATAGTAATGTTAAGATTAGGATGTGAAGTTCTTAGCACTCAGCTTGATAGATCTGAGCAAAAGCCAGTCTCAAATCCATGATCCTCCTGCCTCGGTCTCCCTAGTTTTGGTATTATAGGGGAATGCCACCTAAGTGGGCTTGTGGACTCTCATTTGGTTGTTACCAGTTTAGACCACTTTGTCTTGGAATTTTGAGAACTATTGCTTCCCCAATAAAACTATGTACTTCTCAAGGATGGGAACCGCTTCATACTCTAATCCCTGACCCAGGCCAAACACTCTGACTTCTCTGTGAATATTGGTTCCTTCTCTTTATCCCCAGCTAAGAAACCTCACTAAAGCACTTTTCTCTAATTGTTTTTGTGTCTGGGGAATGGGTACGCTGCAGAGTTAGGGTATGGGAAGACCACTGTATTTATGAAAGACCTAAAATTTATGAGTTTTCAGATTATTCATATATGAGTATGCTTACATTTTTATAGTGGAGATAGAGTTCAGGGCCGTGTTCATACT